AGTGGATGCTATCAGGCTGAGCTCTTTATTCCCATCTGCTATGAGTGCTGCTTGATAATTTACAGCTGTCGTCTTCTCTAGACAATTGCCATTGTCCCAAAGAGATCCATCCCACCTGCTAACACTCCACGCACATGCTCAGCCCCTGGAGCCAATCTTGACCGATGTGGGATGAAAGGCCAGCTTTCTAGCTTCCATCTGTCCTTCAGTTTCTTAGGGGTTTCAAGCTGGAGTCAGGTGTGAGCTGAGACTACCACCTTGCTTGGCTTTTGTCCTTTGACTCCTTCTCCTTAAAGAACTCTGCTCACTTGTGTAAGTGTCCTATAATACAGGTTTTGTGGGGATTTTTGTCCATTTATTTCTTTAGTGCTATCTTCATGTAGTTTTGAAGCTCTGGGTAGAGGCCAATCAGTTCCCTTTCCTGAATGGCTGATTAAACCCACCCCCCAAACACCTCCTCCATCAGAATCTAATACTCCCGACTGCAGTAAGCTACCCCCCACCCCGAATATCCCCACAGCCAGGTAACAGACAACTGGGGATTGCTGCCCCTATATCCCAGATCCAGGTAAAATTGTACAATGATACAAACCAGCCAGTCCTAAGCCTGTTTGCCCTGTCTTATCCTTTCCTTCCTGTAGAAACCACAATAAAAACTCTTGCTCTGATCCCCTTCTCTCCCTCTGCCTCGGGACCGACCCTGGGGCAGCCCCCTGAGCAGACAGGCAGCAGCTGTGTTCTTCCCAGAACTGTGAGTGAAACAAACATGTTAGGATCTTTCTTATTTTTTCTCTCCTGACTTCGACCTAGCCTCATCATACCTCACACAAGGTTAACATGCTTAAAACAAACCCCATCCCAGGTTCTGCTTCTAGGAAATCTTCCTAAGATAGGTGGTGAACTCTGGGAATATCCAGATTCCACACACATTTTTGAGAAAACCTAGGGCCTCAGAAATAATGGAATTCAGTATTTTTCCATGTGGACTGTACATATGAGTCACATTTGGTGTGATATTTATCTGTTTTGAAATGTACATGTCCATTTCCTGACTCTCAGGGGTTCCGGCTCAGCACATCTGTGACAAAGCCACAAGCACCTGTATGTTTTAAAAACCTTCAGTCTTGTGACATGCAGCCATGATTAGAGACCACTGAATGAATCCCCCTCCTCTCATTTTATAGTGGATATGTCCATTTATATCTTCATTTTATATTGATGTAGCGGCACACAAACTAGAAGGCTATTGATATGTTTACTACCCTCAAAATTCCTTCCATCTTTTCCTTTTTATTATTTTTCTTCTCTATCATGAACTTTCAGTTCTTTCATGCATCCTATTTGATCTTGAGAAAATTACTCATCTAGACAAAATTATTTTCCTTTTTTTAATTAAGTTATTGCTATGTAATTTGCAAGATAGTACAGAACATAGAGAAAAGTATGAGAAGTTCAAATGTCTAGACAGCAATTATTAGGGTAATAAGCACACAACTTATTTCATGCCTCCTTCTCACCCTCCCTCCCTCCCTTCCTTACTTGTTTAAAATTATCTTTCAGGCTCTTTGGACCAGTTGAAAATATTTGGCCATGGGGTTTATGTAGCTAACTGGCCTTGATGTATCTGCATGTGGAATATATACTCAAGTAGTCAAGTATCTGTCATTTTGATGAAACTTCCCTACTTTAGAAACCCCTGTCCTTGCATTATAATGAAACAACATAAAGGCTCAATAATAAAGCCTTGGGGGACCATGACATGTAAAGCCCAGAATTTTAAATAAATAAGGTTTATTGAACATTAAAAACAAATACAGTGAACTGCCCATGGAGAATACTTTATCCTTGCTTGCACTGAGGATAAATATTAACAACACAAATAAGAAGCAAATACATATTCTTACTGTGCAAAACATCAATCTTATTTGGCTTAAAGCTTTGATGTTGCAGTGGTGGTGTTCACTGACATTTAATTTTTGGTGCAATATTGTTCCTGCTGCTGCCTGCCTTTACACTATATAATACAAGCTATTGTCAAAAATGATGCTGAGAACCCTTTAGGGGCACTCATTAAATTTATAGCATTTATAGAAAATAAAGCCTGGTGACTACAGAATAAATATAACTTATTTTAATTTTTTTTAGACAATGCAACTTTGTGAGGCTGTGAAACTTTCTTATTCTTCACTCCCACGTATATTTCCCTCAAATGTTTCTGTCTCCCTTCCGATTTCCCACCAAAGTTCTCCCTAAGAGAACTCCTGGCCAGTTATTATTTTTAATGCAATATTTACTAAAATATATCTTACTAATTCTAAAACAAGTTCCAAATAAACTATTTTTTAATAACCACCAAAGTATGCTATTTAAAGGTAAACATTACCTGCCAGATAGCCCATCCCTATGTCTTAGTCAATTTATGTAACTATCTGTATCATAATCTATATATTGATAAATGAGATCTGCCTGAAGTACATTGTGATTCAATGATTCCTGAAATGAAATTCCAATCAGCTAGGTCTTTAATCCTTAGGTGGAAACTATTTATACTACTATAAATAAGAATAATATACACATAAAATAATATAAATTAATAACAATTAAGACTTAATCATGCATTGGAGGAATTTAGCAAGTTTGATATAAAAAACTTATCATTGATAGTTTGTATTTCAAAGATGAGAGGTACCTTTTAAATGTGTCTCTGGGTCTCAAGAAAACAGATTATGACACAATAGGCCTATCCTGATGTAAGAAGTAGCTTGCTACATTCTATTCTTTGTTTTAATTTCTTTATTTTATCACTAGCATGGTTGAAAAATTTCTTGATTACTGAGTTTATATATTTTTAAAAGTTGTATAGTTTAAATTATATATTATAATAAAATTAAATATTTTAATTACACATAATTTATAAACTGTATATTGTGTATTTATATTTTATGGATTATATTTATTTTATTTAAAAAAATTTTTTTAATGTTTTATTTATTCTGAGAGACAGCGTGAGCAGGGGAGGGTCAGAGCGAGAGGGAGACACAGAATCTGAAACAGGCTCTAGGCTCTGACCTAGGTGTCAGCATAGAGCCCGACACAGGACTCGAACCCACAAACGCACGAACCGTGCGATCATGACCTGCGCCGAAGTCAGATGCTTAACCGACAGAGCCACCCAGGCTCTGGGTTTATTTACTTTAAAATAAATAAAGTATATTTACTTTAAAATATTTTAACTGAATATAAGTTAATTGTATATTTTGAATTATATAATTTTAACAGATTATATTTCTTTTTTTAAATTTATGATACTTCATTTTATGTGTTAACTCAGCTAAGCTTTGGTGCCTACTTGTTTGACCAAACACTGATCGAGATACTGTTGTGAAGTTATTTTTCAGATGTAATTAACATTTAAATGAATAGACTTTGAGTAAAGCCAATTACCCTCCATAATGTGGGTGGGTCTTATACAATCAGTTGAAAACCTTAAGAGAAAAGACTGAGATTTCCTAAAGAAGAATCAATTCTGCATCAAGACTGCAACATAGAAACCTTGACTGAGTTTCCAGTCTGCAGATTTTGGATTAAGTACCCAATACCAACTCTTCCTCAATTTCCAGCCTGCTGGCACACTAGCCTCCACAACCGATAAGAACATTCCTTTAAATCTCTCTGTCTCTGTCTTATATATTATGATATATAAAAGAATGCTATAGGGACATCTGGGTGTCTCAGTCAGTTAAGCATCTGGCTTCAGCTCAGTTAATGGTTTCAGTCAGTGAGTTGGAGCCCCATGTCAGGCTCAGAGCCTGGAGCCTGCTTTGGATTCTGTGTCTCCCTGTCTCTCTGCCCCTCCCCCGCTCATCCTCTGTCTGTCTCTCAAAAATTAATCAACATTAAAAAAAACTCTTTTCAAAAGAATGATTTATACATAGGAATATATATATATATACATATATATATATTCGTCCTTTTATCTATACATATATAACTCCTGTTACAGATACGTATATATAGATATATAATTCCTATTACATATAGATTATATATATCATCTACATATATTATATCCAATAGGAAATTTATGATATCCTATTGGCTCTGTTTCTCTGGAGAACCTGAAGTAATACAGTATCCCTTGCCTATTTTTCTACAGTATATTCACCTATTTCTTTCTGAGCAAATTTATTTTCTTAATGTTTAGCCGTTTAAATGTCTCATGATACAGTTATTTTTCTTATAGTGTATGGTTTGATTTTTGTTTTCCAATAATAGAAGTTTTTACATTAAAGAAATTATTTTAGATTTTGTTTAGAGAGTTTGAGGAGCAGAGAGAGAGAGAGAGAGAGAGAGAGAGAGGTAGAGAAAGGGGAGAGAGAGGAGAGAGAGGGAGACACAGGATCTTAAGCAGGCTCCATGCCCACGACCCTGGGATCATGAGCTGAGCCAAAATCAAGAATCAGACTCTCAACCGACTGAGCCACCTAGGAGCCCCAGTTTTAACTTTTTATAAAGCATTTTATTCCTTGTATATTTGATCCTGTAAATCTCTTCCCTGCAAAAGAACAGATATATTTCCCCCATATATATTCTAAATATAGTTTTATTTGTTTCATTTAATTTAGTAATCCATGTGGGATATATTTTGGTATATGGCATAAGATTAAAAGTTACAGTTTTCCTTACCTAGTTTCTCACTTTTTTCAGCACCATTATACCATTAAAAAAAATAACCTGAGTGTTATATGGAAATCAACTTGACAATAAACTATTTTAAAAAATAATAATCTGCTAATTTGAAATAACTGCTTCAGTTGGGGTTGCCAGATTTGGCAAATGAATAGATAGGATGTCCTGTTGATTTTGAATTTCATATAAAAACAAGTCTTAGAATATATATGTCCCATGCAATATTTGAGTCCTAAACCAAAAATTGTCATTTATTTGAAATTCATATTTAGCTGCATATCCTGTATTTTATCTGACAAACCTACCATTAGCTCTTACTACGTTTTTTTCTGTGCCTTCTGTGCATTCTAATGAGTCTCCGGTCACAAGGAGGAAGGCTGCTGATAGTGGAGCAAATACAGTCATTAGAGATAAGAGAACCCAAGTCTTAGACATACCATTTCAGTTTCACCTGGACTATTGAATTATATGAGCTGTAAATTCTTATTACTGTTTTTAAAAAGTCTAAGATGGTTTTTCAGTATTTGGAACTATAAACATCTTAAATGACATAGAATACATTGTGTTCTCATAACTGAAATTAGTGTACATTTTAGCTTACTGGGGGGGGGGAGATGTAGCTGAATTACTTTATAAAATAATCACCATACTATCCCATTGACATATATCTAATTTTGAATATATTTTTGGATTTAAATTAAGCACAGGACTGCAGGTGTAAATAAACAATGGGATTGCCAGAATCAGAGAAAGTAATAGATAACGGAAAATTTAACGGTAAACTTTTGATACTTTGGTTACTTACCTCCTTAGAATGGGTAGAGTAATATTCACAAAGTCTGAGGTAGAGAAGCACCAGTTTTCAGCATTACTATACTTCATTAGAGTCTTAACCATTTTATTTATTGTGACTCTTCTCCCTATGGGATTAATATTTTAAAATACAGCGATAAAGATATTGCTGGCATAGGGTTCCTCTTGAGGGATGGAATTAGTTCAGGGAAGGTCATGATAAGCTGGGAGCTAAAGAATCCATATATTTGTATTTACTGCTCCTTTGCCCACCTTCCTAAATGTAGAGAATGACTGTGTCAGGGTTCACAGCACAGGACAGACTGAGCTGACCTTCCCAGGATTGCAGAGTAGTAAGGCCTGGGTAAGAAAATGTCTGTTTTTTTTTTTTTTTAATGTTTTATTTATTTCTAGGAGAGAGAGAGAGACAGCGTGAGCAGGGGAGGGTCAGCGAGAGAGGGAGTCACAGACTGAAACAGGCTCCAGGCTCTGAGCTGGCAGTCAGCACAGAGCCTGACGCGGGGCTCGAACCCACGAAACGTGAGATCATGACCTAAGCGAAAGTCGGACGCTTAACCGACTAAGCCACCCAGGCGCCCCAAGAAAATGTCTGCTTCTAAAGGTGATAAAAAGAGTGTTCCTTGAAGGAAGTTATAACTTCAATGCAAGGAGTAGAGTTTTCTCAATGTTATTAGCAAGAGGAACTTTAGCTGGTAACGGTAACATGTAATATCATTTTGAATGGAATTCCAAGTAGTTCTGGTCTTCCCTTTGTCAGAACACAGTGGAAACCAGTATGTAATGCATGCGTGACGTTGAATGCATCACAGAAACCTCCATTATTGGTAATTGTGATGATTACAACTGATAACTTAAAAAAAAAGTTACTGTTTACTTTTGAGAGAGAGAGACAGAGAGATAGAGCATGAGCAGGGGAGGGGCAGACAGGGAGGGAGACACAGAATCCAAAGCAGGCTGCAGGCTCTAAACTGTCAGCACAGAGCCTGACGCAGGGCTCGAACCCATGAACTGTGAGATCATGACCTGAGCTGAAGTCGGAGGCTTAACCCACTGAGCACTGTTTCAGATGCTACCTTCCTCCACTCTCCAAACATGGCATTGTCACTAAAGAATTGCAGTAAATATTTTCATATAACTTCTGGTTTATCATTATGTTTTATTTCGTTATCTCTGTCAGTGTCACTTGAATTAATGACTTCATTTCTGATTTCAACTACAAGGAGTCAACCCTATGAAGAACTGCTTTCTTTCCTACTGCTGCAATGATTCCCAGGGTAAGGAGGTCTTGGTTTTCCCAGCAAGGTGACTGGGAAAGTCTGTAGACTTCCCAAAGCACATACGGTAGCCACTGGCAGTGGGAATGTTAAATATGCAAAAACTTTTAACAGCACAAAAAGTTTATAGTTGATTGGAAAGCGGCCATATGGAAAGTCTATCCTACCCTACTTATTCTTTTAATGTGGCATGGTTGTAAATGAGGACAATGAAATGAAATAATTGAAATAACTCTTGGATCGCAATGTGTGAAAGCTTCAGTTATAATAATGTCTCTGAACAAAATAAGAAAAAAATATATACTTTTAACTGAATTATTTGTTAAAATCAAAAGCTTTTTTTAATATCTGTTTTTGCATTTTTAAATGAATTGTCAATAGCAGGTAATGTGTAGTACTCACTAATAACATGGTCAAGGTCCATCAAATGATGCAGGCTATTTAGAGTTCAAGAGTATTTTGTGATACCCAAGGAATCAACAGTTGGAGAATGTGTGAAGGAATGGCATGTCAACAAGGTAGGCCTTGCACTGATGCCTGCCTTCTTTCTGCTAAACTGTAGACCTCTGGCTGATTGTTTATGTTAAAAGAATGACCTTGTTAAAGTAAATAAAGGTTCTTTTCAGATAGCTTTAAACGTCATTAAAATAGTGCTTCATAGAATTTTAAGGTTGAAGAGCTATATGGTTTCTTTTTTTGTCATGAAGATAATAAAAAATCTTGGCTAATTAAGAACTACAAGCAATTGTCATTTTTTGGAATAGCCAGATTGTTATTATTATTGTATTTATTTATATCTGTTTTATTTATTCATATATATAATTTGCACTCACTTTTGGTTCTAGAAAGTACTTTCCAACTTCTAGTCTCTGGAAGCTCTGAGGATCCTATTTACACCTTTGTGAAGTTATCTGCCTGTGCAGTTATTCCTGTTAAATGCTGGATTCCTCCTTTAGCCAGGGGGAAGCAACTTAAGGGCCAACCAAAACTATTCCCTGAAATCTAGAAAGCAGAGTGAAGCACGACCTCCATTCTCAGTACAATGTGCAAACAACAACAATAATAAAGACAATGGACGAAGTATTGTTACTGTTGGTAGAAAAAAAATCCACCTCATCAGCAAGGAAGAGAAATGATATTTATTAATGTGAAAGGATTTGAATGTCTTTTTTCTGCTTCTGGTGTTCAAATTGTTTTACTTTGTTCATATGGTTTTCTATATAAAATTTGTGGAGTTAGTGGTCACTTGATTGACATGTGTAAAAGATCATTCCATTATGCAAGCTAACACTTTTTAGTGGAATATGTTTTAAAAATCTAGTCTATCTTGCATTGTAAATGGCAAACTGAATTGACAATAAAATTATGTGCATGTCAAATTTGGTCCCTCATTGCTTGACAGGAACATACTGGCTGACAGAAGAATCCAAAGTCTTTTGCAAAATCCTATTTTTCATTTTTAATTACTCACAATGACCAAATTATGAGGATATGTCTTGGACGAGTTTAATCTTTCCCTTTTCATAATGGTTTTGTATTAAAGCATAAAATTAAGGTGAATTGACTTATATCTGCCTTCAGAAAATATCTGGCATTAATGGAAATAATTATTCTATTCCTTGCCAGAATGTCTGGATAAACTGAAATGAGTATAATTTATCACAATGTTATTTTTTTTTCAGAAATGAGACAAAGAAGCACTATAACACATTCACTTTCCATTATGCCATTTCCTTCAGACATTTGCCACATTATGAGCTCCTACAGGGAAATCATTATCTTTCTTATAACAAAAAAAATGAGGCGAGTCACCATTTCATTACCTATATTTCAAAAAGTTAAATGATTTAAAATGCCTGCCCTGGGAGATCACTGCACTTGCTTGTCTGTGTTTCCACAAGCACTGTTATCCTTAGCTATAACTCATTTTTGAAATGCCAAACGTCAGGCAGAGTAATGTTTACCAGATTTAACCTTGTTCACTTTATTGGTTAAAATGAATCCATTGAATATGTGCAAGGGAGATGAAAGTGTCCATTCAGAAAAAGAAAATAAGTAGGTCTTATCTAGAGATTCATGTATACAATTACTATACTTTCACATGACTTCAAATGGCTAAAATGTTATGCTTACTGTGATAGGCACTGAATAAATATACAAACAACAGAAGTATATGTACACTGATGGCATGTTAAACGAGGTCCGTTTGAACATGAGAGGTAATTTATCATAACTCAGAGGACTTTGGAGCAAGGCAAAACCATAGTTACAGCCTTGTATCTGGACTGTGACCATGAGCAACTTACTTACACTCCTATCCTCAGTGTCATGAATTCTATGCTCTGCTACCCAGATCTCTATTTTGGGATTGAACTATTTTTTTCTCCCAGCAGCTGTAAGGTTGTCTAGCAACTGATCTCAGCTGCTAGTCCTTTCCTAGATCTATTCTCATCTAAAGAGAGCTGCCCTTCCCAAGTCCACACCCTTCTCCAGAGGCGGACCACCACAGAAGAAGGAGCCAAACAATATGTGGTAGGTCACTTTGGATTCTGAAACTCACATGTTTCATACCAGGGAGTAATACCAGGATCCACACAGAGGGTGACTAAATGCTACCAATTTTGGAGAAAGCCCAAAGTATGGAAAACCCAGGCGAATGTACAAATGTCTCTTAGGTCATATGACTGTGTTATGAGAGCTATCAGTAGGGGGAAAGGATGCTCTGTGGCATTTCTGGAAAGCACCAATGGGAAAATCACAATATACTCCCAAGATGTTGAAGCAAGGCTATGCCATATCGAGGAGAATATTACATACCAACTAACGAAGGAAGAAGCAGCAACACAGATATGTTGGCTCAGGATGGCCCTTGTTGTAGATAGTCTTGAAAGACAAGGCGGAGGAGAAATCCTGAGTCAAGGTTTGGGTGATGCATCAGCTATTTGCCTGTGTAGAAAGAGAAGAGTTCTTTGGTTAGAATATATAGAAAGTCATGCGCTGTGGTGAGAAGCTAAGACATTTGACCAGGGACAAGATGGAATACTTGGGAAAAGTGGGTCAAAGGACCTATGTGGACACCAGGTTCAATATTATTGTTATTGTGTGCTGATGCCCATCAGAGAATATCCAGTAAGGAAGCATTTAGTAATAACATAGACACAATTACCTGGACAGGTGATGGGGCCAGCCTGCCTTTAGCCACCCCAATGCTGACATATGAGCACAACTGGGAAGCCCTGGTGACAATAATGGAGGCTACACATGAGTCTGACAAAAGGGGCTCCTGCTCATCAAGCCTGATTTATAGACTGCCCCTGATGAATGCCAGCAAGAGGTCAACTATTGGCTCCCAACAGAGAAGCATCCCTCAAGGAGGAGAACCAGTTACTTGGCCCCGACTACAGTGCATCTCTTCCACTCTGAGATGGCAATTTATACTCACAGGAATTGTCATTCCGAACATGGGCTCCCTTTCCTTGCCAGCAGGGCTTAGTCAGGACCATTATGCAAGGTCTTGAAAAATTTTTGATTCAACAGTCATGACCCCTTACGACGTCAGACCGAAGGACACACTTTGTAACAGGAAAGTCATGGAAGGGATGTATGGTTCCTAACACATAGTGCACTATTCAGAAGCAGCTGACCTAACAGAGTGATGGAATAGCCTAAAGAAAGTGTGGCTAACACACAAGAAGCATGTTCCTCCAGACTAAGGATACTCATTAAATTAGTGACCATAGTATGGTGCTGTGTCCTCCAACAGGTAAAGTACTTAAGTCTTGGATTCTGGACATGGATGAAGTGGCCTCGTATACCAACACTCCCAGTAACCCACTTGTGTTTTTTTACTTTGCAGCTATGAGTTCTGTGTATATTAGAAGTCCTGAATCCCAAAGGGAAAATGCTGCCACAGGGAAGGTCACAGCAATGATATCAAACTGTCGCAAGAAACCAGGGAGTGTAGATGTTGCTTCCTGAAAGAAGAACGAATAAGACCCATCTTCTGGGGGTGAGGCTGCAGGGGACAATTGGCCCTGATAATCAAGAGGAAGCATGGCTACTATTGCGTATTGTGGGGAGGGGGGGTACCTTTAGCATCCATGTGATCCAGTTGGGCACCCCTAGGACTCACTTGTCCAAATGTGACAGTAAATGGATAAATGCAAAAACTGCAGCCTGAGAAAGCCATGGGAACCAAAAACTTGGACTGTTTAGGAATGAATATCTGGGTAATCTCACCAGATAAGATGCCTAGACCAAGAGAGGTTGTAGCTGAGGGTGAGCAGAATCTACAGTGAAGAGTGGAGGAGGGAGATAAAAAGTATCAGCTGCAGCCTTGTAAACAGCTATACTAACATAGAATGCTGTTTATTCCATTAACTTTCCTCTCATCAGTTTCTCTCAGGAAAAGAAATCCAGCAGAATCCTGAAGGTATAAATTACAGACCTTATATGAAGCAAGTGAATCCTAGCAATGCATGGGATGTTACTCCGTAGCGACTGGATTCCTTTTAAGGCTAAAAGATTAAATTCCCTAGCTCCTGAGAAGGTTGCCAACAGAGAGATTTCAGCTGTCAGTTCTCTCCAAGAATAACTCTCAGCTGTGAAGAGCCTCTTGACTTGCTCAAGGTCCTATCACTTCTTGAAGGCAGCCAACATCCAATGACTCTTCAATGCAATGACAGAAGGACCCAAGCCCTTTGTGTCAACTCAGGATACCTCTCAATGGTCCTTCCAGCTTGGAATTCCCCCGGTGTCAACTGAGGCTGTTCTACCACCTAACTTTTCTGACTGACCATTTACTTTTATCCTTTCAATACAGTTATTGACCCGAATACAATTACAATCCTTAATACAATTCTATTTGGCATGGAATTGGGTTCTGACCAATCAGACAGTAATATCTGACACTCGATGCACATCTGTGAATCTGGATGATCATATCTATATTTAGTTTGTGAAGACTGGATAACTTCATGGTTATAAAGTAGCACACCCAGCCCATAATAAAAATTATTTCCCCTCTCTGTTTTGTTTTGCTACTGAGTACAACTAAACTGACACAAAAGTCATGTCAGCAGTTTTCTACATTAACCAGACCTTTCCCAAAGGTAGAAAAGTAGAAGTATCATGGCACTATGGAATCCCAGCTCTGGGCTCCCTTGGGACCTCATTTATGAAGTTTCTTTTTAACAGACTTATTTGAGTTTGCTCAGCCAACTTTAACTTTTTAGTCTAATGTTTTTGGGATTTACCTTCGTTTTCTTTGTCCTATTCTTTCTAAGACTTTATTATTGTTATTTATATTTGTAGTCTGAATTACATGGATGTAATTCTCCATATATGTAAGGTAACATATTTTTTAAAAAATGAAATGACTTTTTTCCCTCTACAAAGCCACTCCTGGGAAAGGATACAAACACAAATCACAATGTGAACTCAGTTTTTGCTTGATTAAAATTGAAGTGTTGATATCTGAAAGTATAATAGTTATTCTGATTAACTTTGGTTTATTATCAGATTATTTTTATAATATGAACAGTTCTGAAGATATTTAATGGCAAATGTATTATTTAAAGTATTAGAAACATAACAATAAGGGTTACTTCATGATATATTCTAAATTCATCATGCACAATTCTGACTGCACCCTCTCTGTGAAAGCAATCTGGTTCATTTGAAAATAAATTTTCTAAGAAATTTCCTGTGTACTTAGGAAGGTCAGTTCAAGTCAAAAGTCAGGACTTAGGGTTTTTAGTCCAAATGTTCCTAACCCCACTTCCTATAATATGCTCAAGCCAAGATTGAGGTCAACAAGGAGTTTATAAAAATAGCAAGAGATATTCAATTTTCCACTTGATGGATGACAAAATACATCAAGTTGAGGAAATAAGTCATAGCCTATTATGGAAAAGCCAGATTAATTTCTTCAAATAAATCAAGAAATTGTTGTCAGAAATTTAAAACAAAACAAAGCAAACAAAAACCAAAAAACACAAAAAAGGACAGAAGACAATAAAGGCAACGAATATAGGATATTAAGCCTAGAAGCCTTGGCTTTAAGCCCTTGTCTTCTCTGTGCTGTGCTAACTTGGCTCTTAATAAATCTTTTACTTCTTCAAGACACTCCCAGTAAAACCTAAAATTATGCTCCTATGTAAATAAACTAGCTCTCTGCTCATGAGCCAACCACTGAAATATTCCTTACCTATAAAATTTAAAAAAAAATATTCTTTTAGTCCACTATTTTAGAAACCCAATATTCATATTTTTTAACTTACAGGCTTGACTTAAAGATTAGATAAGTAATGAATGTAAAGTGATTTATACTATATTTTATGTTAACTAACTTGAATTTAAATTGATAAATTAACAAGTTATATTTTTTACAAACATATAGACTGTTCTTTTTCCTACAAATAAACTGAATTAAATATAGCAGTAAAAGCATAATAATCCAATTCTATACAAAATAGCTGCTATATAAAATATCAGTTACAGTGTTCTTAAAAAACAATGCATGGTTGGGGAGCCTGGGTGGCTCAGTCAGTTAAGGTCCGACTTCGGCTCAGGTCATGATCTCAAGGTTTGTGGGTTCGAGCCCCAAGTCAGGCTCTGTGCTGACAGCTAGCTCAGAGCCTGGAGCCTATTTCAAATTCTCTGTCTCCCTCTCTCTCTGACCCTCCCCTGCTCATGCTCTCTCTCTGTCTCTCAGAAATAAATAAAACATTAAAAAATATAAGAAAAAAAACCCAACCATACATGGTAATGCAAAATGTAACTGCCATACAAGCAGCAAAAACTTAAAAAGTTAAATAGATCATACTTATAGTGTCTTTGCTGTAAGAACAAAGGGGACGCTTGCTCACAAGAAGTTGACTCCAACAATACAAAACAAAACAAAAAATTCCTTGTACTTGGAGGGAAAGTCCACTTAAAGGAACTCAGCATCAGAGACTCTTCCCAGTAAAGAGTAGACTTTAAAATATTGAGGCTAGTAAGGCTCTAGCTTCTAGAAACTCACTAGGTTCTCTATGTGTTTTGTTCATCTTGTTCACTGCAATCTAAATAAATGAACCATTAAAAAATCCCACTTGTGGGTTGCCTAGGTGGTTCAGTTGGCTAAGCATTCCCAACTCATGGCTCCCACTCAGGTCATGATCTCCTAGTTCTTGGATCAGCCTGCCTGTGATTCTGTCTCTCCCTCTGTCTCTGATCCCTCCATCCTTGTTCTACCTCTCCCTCTCTCTCTCTAAAAAACATAAAAAACATTAAAAAAAAAAAAACAATCGTATGCCATTTTATAAGGTCAAATTTGCCTCATGAGACTGTCCTCAAAGATAGAGATTTTCCCCATTTTCTTTAACTCACACATATTCCTCAGAAACCCCTATGCAAGTTTTTAATAAGAATCCCAAACTTCTTACTAGTCATTGAAAAATTGCTATAGTTAGTTTCATTTATTTTCTTAACAGCTAATATGAATCTCAGATTTATTTGAGAATGCTCAACAAAACTGATTTACACTAACAAATTTTTTTCAAGGAAAAGACTCCAAATGAAGAAAGTGGGAATTCAGATCAGCAGTTGTGTAATTACTTATGGCTTTCAGCTTCCCATAATTTTTTTCAGTATTATTGGTCACCATTGTCTTAGGATGGTCTTTGCCTGCCTCCTGCTCTGTTTTCCTCTTAAAGACACAAAGAAAATTTGTAAATTCATATGTGGATGTTGTTAGTGACTTCCTAGTCACTAGGAAGTAGGAGTAAATATCTCAAAAGAGAAAAAGATAAGGGCAAGGTTTAATCTTAGAACAATGTCTGATGATGACATGGTGGAGTCTCTCACTCTCCTTGTATTCTTCCGTCCCAGCAGCCAGGCAGGCAATTGCTGAAGAGTGACCAGGCTTTCAAAAGAAGAAATGAGCAGGATTCAAATTAAAAAGG